GGCCGGCAGGGGCCAGCGGCTGGGGCCAGCAGCTGGGGCCACGGTGGGGGCCTTCCCGCATGCCGGCCCTACCTTGCTCCAGGGGTTCTGCGATGGTGGCCAGCTGGGCCTCCTGCTGCTCGCAGGAGAATTGGGCCTCCGACCACTTCACCCGGCTCTGGGGGTCCTGGCCCTGGATCTGGAAGCACTGGGGGCAGAGAGAAGCGGGGGTGAGGCCGGCTCCCCCCGTCCCACACACCCAGAGGCCGCGGCACCTGCAGCAGGTCTGGAGGAGTCTCTGAAGGCCGTGAGAGGGCAGCATCTGAGAATGACAGGCTGGGTGTGGTGCCTCACGCCTGCAGTCCCAACTCTGTGGGAGGCCGAGGCGGGAGGACTGCTTGAACCCAGCAGTTCGAGTACAGCCTGGGCAACACAGCAAAACCTTGTCTCTACAAAAAACAAAAATAATTAGCCAGGCGTAGTGACACAAGCCTGTAGTCCCAGCTACTCGGGAGGCTGAAGCCGAAGGATCGCCTGAGCCCAGGAGGTTTTGCGAGTTGTGATTGTGTCACTCTGTCTGGGCGACAGAGTGAGACCCCGACGCAAACAAGTGTAAACCCACAAATAATGCAGCAGACGCCTTAGACGTGGAGGTATGTCACAATTTCACAGAAGGCATCTTGGTGCCACGCCCAGGCCCTGCTCGTGTGATTAGAAGTAATCATGAAATAAGAGGCAGCAAGGCCACCCAGGACCAGCAGGAAGTGGCAGCTCAGTGCAGCAAACACTCAGGGTGTCCCTGCCACGTACACGTGGGCAAAGGGGTGGCCAGTGCCCTGCCCTGTCCTGCAGGGGCCCAAGGCAAGCGGGAGAGGCAGACCAGGAAACACTCCACCTATATCCAAGTTCTTTGCGGAGGCAGAGAGGGACAGAACCAGCAAAGCGAGGCATGTGAGGCTGGGCAGTGCAGGGGCAGTTCTGGGGCTTTCCACAGGACAGGGGAGACCCTGGTGTCATGACAAGAGCACATGCAGAAAGGGACTGGTTACACATGCAAATCGAGAACACGATTTTGGACATGAGAAAAAGGCTCAGAATGGTCCTGAGAAAGCTGGACACGGGATTGCATGTTTAGAATGATCTCAATTCGTGGACCAGGCGGAAGGGTGACAACCACAGATGGGAGGACTCTCTGGAGAGTGTGGTGGATTTTGTCTTCTTGTTTGTACTTTCCTAAGTTTGTTTATTTATTTATTTGGAGTTGGGGTCTCTCTCTGTCGCCCCGGCTGGAGTGCAGTGGTGCAGTCACAGCTTACCACAGCCTCGACCTCCTGGGCTCAGGTGATCTTCCTACCCCAGCCTCCCCAGTAGCTGGAACTAGAGGTACGTGCCACCACACCCAGCTATTTGTTTTTTATTCTCTGTCGAGATGAGGTCTCACTATGTTGCCCAGTATGGTCTCGAACTCCTGAATTGCTCAAGCAACCCTCCCACTTCAGCCTCCCAAAGTGCTGGGATGACAGGTAGAGCCACTGTAGCCAGCCTGAAGAAAATTTTTAAAACTTAAAAGTGTTATTTAAAATCCTTCAGCTCATGCTTTATATTGTTTTGTTCTCGTGTCTATGTTGCTACGGATAACATTAGCTGTGTTAATGTGGAATACATCTGCATTTACACACACATGTATACACAGACAAAATGCACACACGTGCCACGTGGGGCACGTATGCTTAGTATTCATTTTACTGACAGAAGCTCATGATCAAGGCATTTGGCAACCAGCGACCAAGGAACCACACCAAGGGCTCGGACCACCCGGCTTCCTGGTGGGCCAGCAGATGCTACTGTTAGGGGTCCTTTTCAGGGAGTCTGGCCCCGCCTCGCGCTGGGGCCCAGTAAAGAGAGGTTGGGGGCGATGGCAAGGAGCAGGGACACCAACGCCCAGGGCTCCCAAGGTGCAGCCTCCAGGCCCTGCCTCCCTGGGGCGCCCCCTCCCACCTACCTTATTGAGGAACTGACTCCAGCCCGGGGGGCAGCCACCCAGGGGTGTGGGCGGCAGGTCTGGGGGCTGCGTCTCTTTGCTGCTGTTGCTGCGTTTGCAGATGTAGGGCAAGGCCGTTGGGCACCGCTGGTCGCCCCAGTCCTCTGTGGAGAGGAGTGGGAGGCAGTCACCCGCAGAGCTGGACAGAGCTGGGAGCAGGCTGGCAGGCCTCCGTGGCCTTGGGCCCTGGGCACAGGCCCACCTCTCTCTAGGGCAAACCTTTCTTGGCTAGTGGGAGCTAAGAGGAGAGGAGAATGCAGACCCTGGCCCGGGCTCCATCACGGCCCCGCACAGCCGCCAGCGCCCTCACCTCGGCTGGCCGTCATGTACACGCACTTCTTGTCCCTGCCGAGAGGACGAGGCTTGCCTGGCGCCCAGGAGATGAAATTTATAACGGAACCATCAGTCCACCTGCAACGGCACGGGCCTGGTGACGCCAGCACGCCCCAGGGCGGGGCCTCCCCTGGAGGCGGCAGTGAAAGCAGCAAGGAGGCAGGAAGGGCCCACGCTCAGGGACTCAGTGGCAGCGGGCTGTGGAGTGGGCTGCTGAGCTCAGTGCCACCAGAACCCAAGAGCCGGGGGCCTCCTGGCAGGCCCAGGGCAGAGGGCCCAAGAGCAAAGACAAGTGTGGGTTCCTGCGTGCCCAGTGTGCTCCTGGCCCTCTGGCCCCCTGTGCTAGGTAGGCACCAAGAAGCACCCGGGCAGCAGTGGGATAGTGGCTCTGAAGTGAGCATCCTTCCTCAGCCTCTGGAGTAGCTGGGACTACAGGCGTGTGCACCACACCCGGCTAATTTTTGTATTTTTTGTAGCGAGGAGGTCTCATGATGTTGTCTAGGCTGGTCTTGAACTAGGCACAGGCCTAGTATTCCTTCTAATTCTCACATCGGTCCTACCCGGCGAGTTTCATCGTTCCCATGTTCAGACGAGAAGACCGAGCCCAGAAAGCTCAAGTCTCGTGCCCAAGGCCACCCGGCCAGCCGGGCCGGCCGCTCTGTGTTCTGTGCGTGGCTGGCGCCCCCTCCCTCGCCTGCCTCCTCCAGGGCCCCTACCTGAAGCGCCCATCGCTCTCGGAGGTGTGCAGGCCAATCCACCAGTGCTGCTCCTGGCCCCGGGAGAACTGGAGAAGCCGGCGGGTGGCTGTGAGTGGGCAGCCCCCGCCC